AATCTGCATGCGGTTGATATGATATTTTTGTGGATATTAGTATACGTCGTTTGTGGATATTAGGAGACATGTTTATAATCCGGATGCAGTTCATATTGTATTTTTGTGGATAGTGTTGAAATTCGATTGTGATGTTTATGAAAATGAATAGTTTTTTGTATTGATTTGTAATATATATTTTATTGAACAGGTTATTGAAATGCGCAGAGAATTGTTACTGAAAAGAAAAAATTTTGGAAGAAAATAGTACCCCCATTTTCAAATTTTTTTAATTTTTGTTAGTGACGAAATAAAAATGTCGCTATTAGTTTTCAAAAAACATGACGAATAATTTTGTCACTAATGATATAATACGAAACAAATAATTTCGTCACATTTGCTGAATATTTCGTTGCTAAATTGAAATATTTGGTGACAAAATGTTTTTTTTCATTGAAGAATTTTCTTTTCTGTTCATTTTAGTGACGAATTTTGTTGTCACCTTTATCCACATCATTGGTAAGGAAAACTTTCGTCACTAAAATCTATTTGGTGACGAAATATTTCGTTGCTAAAAACAATTAAAACAAAATATTATTTAGTTTAGGCGAGGAAATTGATGTTATAGAGGACGGAAAATTCAACATTCAGCGACAAAATATTTCGTCGCCAAAAATAAAAAATAGGCGACGAAACTGTTTTTTGTCACCAGGTACTTTCAGCAACGACGTATAGCCCACGAACGTGGTGACAAATTTTTTTCGTCATAGATCACTTTAGTGACGAAAATTTGATGTTTGGAAACAAAATCAGTCTGTCACCAAAAGCCTTTTTTGTTGTAGTGTAAGACTTTTGTACTATATGTTTGTTTTTCTAAAATGATTTATATTAAGCTATTCATTATTTAGCCTAAATAATTATCCATGGTGATTTGTATACCCTTATACTCTTAGTATAATATCCATTACTCTAGCATTTATAGTTATTAAAACCCTTTCAAGTCAAGAAACTTAAGGAAGAATGGTTTACCCCATTAATCAGGACCTAGACTTAGATGAACATTGTCTTTTTTTTCTCTCTCCTGTGTTTATTTGTAATTATTATATGACTTGTGTTATGTAAATAATAATTCCCATGTACCTTTCAGATGTTTATCTGCATATTTTATTTCATTCCGCTGTATTATTTAATTTAGTTGTTTCGAACTAATCTTAAAAATTTTAGAATTTAACTAGTTGTGAATCCAATTTAAATCTTTTGTCTATTTCTATTAAGTAAAATCGTTTGGAAAAGTTACAGTTTTGTTATTAAACTCAACAAAAAAGCGTATTTTAGACATTTTATGTGCAAATACATTGAGTTTGATGATTTAAAAATTATTTTTTCATTTGTTTTATTTAACGAAAATAGGCTACTGGCCTAGATTGAAAATAAAACAAAAGATTATAGTTTAAATTGATGAAATTAAAAACTTGTTGAGTTTAATAACTAAAATATCATTTTTCGTTAGTTTTACTTAATGGAATTAGGCTAATGATTTATATTGAAAACAAATAAAAAATTTTAAAAACTTTGAGATATTTTTTTTTTTTTAAAAACTTCTCCATATATTTTTTAACATAATAAAATATGCCAATTAAATATATAATTAATGCAATGGTTCAATTTAAAATTGAAATAAAATGATATTAAAATCATACATCATAAAATGACGTAATTTTTCTTTAATTTTAAGATAAATTATACTTTGCCCTTTTATGTTTGGTCAATTTTCCATTTTGGCTCTTAAAGTTACTTCTTTTTTTTTTTCTTTTTTTTTTTTCACCATTCATGTTTCATGTTTTTCTTAATTTACTCTAAAGCTAACTTCTATTCAAAATTAAACAGAAAATGACACATACCAATCACATGACATAAAAATATTTTATTACATATAACTCAGATATTTGATACAAATTCAAACCCCAAATAATAATATATTTTTATATTATATGACAATATCATCACATTTTTTGTCTAATTTTGAACATAAGTTAGCTTTACAAATGAACTCGGAAAAATTTAAAATATGAAGAGCCAAAATAAGAAAAATCAAATTAAGTTAAAGTAAAAAAATGACCAAACATAAAGAAGTTACCCTTAATTTTAAACATAAAGTATTAAATTATCGTGACAAAATCAATATTAGATAGAGATCCAAATCTATTAGATGATAGGGTTCAACATGCATGCATGACATTAACATTAGCTAGGACTATAAAAATAGCCAGTTGCATAGGGTAGGCCGAGCTCGATTAGGCCTGGGGTAGGCCGGGCTCAATTAGGCCCGGGCTCGAGCCTAGCCCGGGACCCTAGACTTGGGCCTAGACCATCATTTTGAAGTCTGGCCCGGCCCGTGGGCCGACCCATCGACCTACTCAAGGCTCACTCATAGCCTGGCCAAAGGCCTGGCCCGCCCGAAATCCAGTGCCATTTTTTGGTAAAAAATAGAAAAAAATGTTCAAGCCTTACCCAAGCCTGAGCCCAGGTCGACAGGCCCAACCTGCCCAAGGCCCGAATAACCCCCTGGCTTGGGCTTAATTTTCTGGTTTGTGGGCCGGGCCGACTTGAATTGGCGAAGCCCATGAGACCCGACATGACCCGACTTGAGCCTGAGCCGGATAGATTCGGGCCAAATTTACACCCCTAACATTAACTAGTGGTCTTGAATTTCTTTTTTACTCCCTACCTTTTAAAAAATGCACGTCTATATATAATACAACGGTTCAAATAAAAATTAAAATGAAATACTATGTTTTCTAAATGGGGGGAAAAAATGAAAATGCATGGCATCATCATTAGCTAATGGCTTTGAATTTGTATTTTACTAAGATTGTTTTTGTTAATGAAATAATATATATTTATAATTTCTATAAAAAAAAGTAATAAAAAAACTCAGCAATAATGGGAGTTAATTTTTAAATTTTAAAGTATACTATGCATCTCCAATTCAACACCCTCAATTAGAGGATGAAAATACATTTTTATTCAAAAAGTGAATATAGAGTATCTCACTATTCATTCAAACTCCAATCACAAATCATCATTTTATTCTCTAAAGATTTCCCAACAAAATGTTTTTATCAAAAAGTGAATAATTTTTGTTCATTAAAAATATTTAATATTTAATTTTTTGTTAAATATATTTAATATTATTCTATTTTTAAAGGTATGATTTCATTCTTTTTAATGATACCAATTCTATAAAAATTAAATTTACGTATTAAAAGTTATTTGTAATATAATTAAAAATATAAAATAAATAGTGATTTAGAGTTGCTCCTCTGTTTTTCATCATTCCTCCAAATATGGAGGATCAACCCATCTTCCTCCCAAATGGAGATGGATTTAGAGAATGAGTTAGAGGTGAAAATCCTTCAAAAATAAAGAAATAGAAGATAAGTTGGAGATGCTCTAATGGATGTTCTAGTTTCAGTGTGAAACAATCACAAATACCACATCATTTTGTATCTAATTATTTGATAGACGGAGACATGAATATGATTTTTATTCACATAAAATCTTATTTAGAATCATGCACAATTTTATTTTATTTTTTATTTGTCAATCAAAAGAAGTAGAGTTCCAAATGGGGCCAAAAAAAAACAAAAACAAATATCAGGGCCAAATTGAATTTTTTTTATATTTTATAAAAGGCTATATGTAAACAAACATATTTCAAAATTTTGGTGCAAATTGATTATTTTTTTAAATCATAAATAGAAATAATATTTTCAAGGGAATATTTAGATAAATTTATATATATAATAAAATAAATTTAAATTTAGAGCAATTGTCACCCACTCACTTTAATGTGGTTCTTTTTTTGCGCACGTCATCTATTAGAAAAGTTATTTGGTGATGATAAGACATGGTTAAATGGTATCCCAGAAAAAGTATTGTAATTAGTGAAACGAGTAGAATTCACAATTTTATATTAGGTGATGGAAATAGCAAGAAAGCATGATATTTAGTGATTGGTAAATATCACCAAGTCATATCCCAGGATCACCTAATAATTTTCCCGTGATTTCGAAGATAGGGATATTGTTGTACCTTAAGGGACTGTGGTCCCTCATGGGAATCAAAATTGGGTCTATTTTGATAATCAAAATCATTCATATTATAGAGTTTGTCGAGTAGATCATCTATGAAAAATAAAAAAACCAGATTAATCGGACATTTATAACTACATAAAAATGTTACATTTATTTTTAAAAATACAAACAACAAATATGATTTTGATAGTAAATAATTTATTATTTAGAATCTGATCATATAATTACAAATATTTAATTAATTTAATTTTTTATATAAATATTTTACTCAACCACCCGTACAATATAAATAGCGTCGATTATGAAAACTGGCTCGGGATGGAGGGTCATAGCAGTATCCCAGATCCGGTGATTTCTCGGTTTTGTTTTTTGTTTTTTTTTTTTTTCGTTTTTTGTTGGGACAAACAGAAAGACTAATCATAAATAAAGGCGTTGGCCGTTAGGTTTTCTTTGGCTCTTAACAGATTAATAATATTAGAAATCATGAAAAAAATATCATTAAATGTTTCATGAAAATTTTTTATTCTTTAATTAATATGTCGTATTTTATTGTAGGTGTAAATTATCTTCATAATATTTTTTTCATAATCTCCAACATTAATCAGATAGACACAAACCGCGTTCATAGCTTACAAACTGGACCACTCTGGTCCTTAGGATTAGAAAGAAACCAAATCCTACCGAAACTCTATAGTCAATAACTTGTTGTTGGAACATTTGAAACTTTTCACAGCCATTAATAATAAAATTGATATTTACATTTCTAAATATATGTATATGTATATTATTATATAAAGAACATAAAACTCTTTTGATATAAACAGTCACTTTTTTCTATTATCGAAATTATCCTTTTATACTGGCTCTATTTAAGTGTAGCATTGATTTTGAATTTCAAATTTGTTAAATTTTTTTTTTTTTTTTTTTTTCGTCCTATATTCAATTGTTGATTTTTGTAGCATACTCACAAGTGTGTGTATATAGAACACATATTCATCCAAACAAATCTTGACTTGCATGCACAGACACAATTTTCAAGTTTGAAATTGCAACTCATATCATATAGAGAAACAAAAAAATGTTTTCTTTATTGCATCCCTTCTTTCTCTCTCTTCTTCCCTTGTTTTTCTTCACACTTCTCCTTCTCAAATGGCTATCCACCACCCAACAACCACACAAAAACCTACCACCATCTCCCTCAAAGCTCCCAATCATCGGAAACCTCCACCAAATGGGCCAATTCCCTCACCGCTCTCTCCTATCGCTATCACAAAAACACGGACCTCTCATGCTACTTCAATTTGGTAGCATGCCAGTTCTCGTGGTCTCGTCTGCAAAAGCAGCGCACGAAATCATGAAAACCCATGACCTCACTTTCTCCAACCGGCCTAAACTGAGAATTGCTAGCAAGCTCTTGTATGAAGCCAGGGATGTGGCTTTCGCCCGCTATGGCGAGTATTGGAGGCAGATGAGGAGCTTATGTGTGTTGCAGCTCCTAAACAACAAGCGGGTACTCTAAATAATATGGACAAAATCAACCACATAGAACATAAATAGAGCAATCCCAGTCACCTTACAATTTTCTATAAATTTATTAGTAGTCTAACAGTTGGGTTTTTGTGTATTTCTTATTTCATGAGTCCATTACATATACCAAATATTATTTTCAATTAATAAATTAATATGACTGCATGAGATGATCTATAGGAATATATTCCAGGTTTTCAATAAGGGAGCTTCTTTTTTAGTGTTGTTTTTTCGCCATCAATCTTCTACCTCTGTCCAAATATTATTGTACGAGTTATTATATTTTGGCTTTGGTGTCATTTTTATTTTCATAATTTTAATTATCTCAATTTTGATAATTATTTTATGATTTTGTCTAAATTTGGTCCAATTAATTACAATTGTTAGTATAATTTTATGGAAATTGTGCCCAATTTTTTTGTTTTTTTGCTGACAAAAAAAAAATATAGGGATTACCGATATAATTTTTCATAATATGTAATATGGATGCAAATCAAATTCATTAAAAAAAATTAAGGTTTTAGAGACCAAAATTTAGGGACAAAATAATTTTTTAAGGACCAAATAATTTTGTTGTGAAAAGTGTCATTATTATATTTTTGGCAACAAAAATTAGACATTAGTGATGAATTATTATCCTTTTGGGACCAAATTTTTTGTCTCAAAAAATAAATCATTTTGAAACTAAATTATTTTGTCCCTAAAAGTCTATTTATTAATAACATTTTAAAAATTTTGTCGCTCAATGCTTTGTTTTTGACTTTTCGGGACGATCTTTTAGCAACTATCCTTATGACGATGGAAATTGGCCCCTAAATATCTTGGTAACAAAATTTTCACTTTTAGAGAGCAAAACATTTAGTCTCTAAAACTCTTAAATATTGTAGTGAATGTTAATTTTGTATTCGATTTTGAAAAGACAAAAATTTAATCGTTACACAATTACATTTACAAGTGCTTGTTTACGAGTGCACAGAGTCACATACTCCGAGAATACATAGCTCTATCATCAAATTGCTTGTGACTTTATTTTGGATAATCTATATATTGCTATAAGTTTTTCATTTAATTTACATCAATTATTTTTCTAACCCCGCATTCCAACAGGTAAAGTCTTTCTGCGCAGTGAGAGAAGAAGAAACGGCCCTTATGCTAGAGAAGATCAAACAATCATGTTCTTCTTCATCTTCAACAACGGTAAATTTGAGCGAAATGTTAGTGTCGCTTACGAATGGTGTCGTGTGTAGGGTGGCCTTGGGGAGGAAACACAGTGGGAGAAAGTTTAAGGAGCTTTTGGGAGAGGTTGTAGAGTTGTTGGGTGTTTTTGATTTGGGAGATTATATTCCATGGCTTGCATGGGTGAATAGTTTCAATGGTTTGTATAAGAGAGTGGATAGAGTTGCTAAGGAGTTGGATGATTTTTTAGAGAGTGTAGTTGAAGAACATATGGATTTGAGGAGAGAGAAAAGTGGTGGTGCGAGAGCGGATCATGAAGGTGGTGATGAAATTCAACAAGACTTTGTAGATGTGTTGCTTGATATTCAAAGAGATAATAAGGTTGGCTTTCCTGTTGATAGGGATAGCATCAAAGCACTCATCTTGGTAAGACTTAACCTTCCTTTTCTTTCTTGTTCTTTTTTAACAAAATAAAAAAACATACTTATGAATCACTTTGATCAAACATGAACATGAATATTGAGTCTAACAGGCACAGTCTCTTATGTAATGTCACTGATTAATAATTAATAATGCTATACTTGACATCTTTTCATATTATATTCAATATATACCACATCATGTGTTAATTCATCATTTGCGTAATGAGTCTCACCACTCATATTTATGTCAAATAATGTGCTAACACATGAGGTAATAAATTGAAGGTGGTATAAAAAGATGGCAAATTTAGCATTACTCTAATATAATATTATAAATTGGATTAGATGTACATCTTTTGTCTCTCACTAACTTATGTAATTCTCACTGTCATAATGTATGATTATTCATTGTTGATAATACCTGTTATATCTGCTACTTACTCCACAAATTTGATGACAAGGTTTGAGAAAAAAAATTCATTTACCCTACAAACTATCATTGGAAAATCAATCAGGGAGCTTTTGCACCAAAAATTCTTGTTGCAAATACAATAAGTACTATTAGGCAGGGATTTTTTTGTCTCCCACTAACCTAATCATATAGTTTCCACTATTGCAATATGAAATTCCTCATTGTTAGGTAATACTGTGATATAGCATCCCCAAAATTTCTTGTTTAAAAAGCCAAAGCCAAATGAAATATTTGAAAAAGTGCTAAATTTGTATGTGTTGTAGGATATGTTTGCTGCTGGAACTGATACTACATACTCGGCTTTAGAGTGGGTGTTGGCAGAGCTCTTGAAACACCCCAAAGTCTTGAAAGAACTCCAGAACGAAGTGCGACGAATAGGCAACGGCAAGCAATACATAACTGAAAATGACTTGGAGAAAATTCACTACCTAAAAGCCGTGATCAAAGAGGCTATGCGCCTACATCCTCCTTAATGTGCTAACACATGAGGTAATAAATTGAAGGTGGTATAAAAAGACGGCAAGTGTAGCATTACTCTAATATAATATTATAAATTGGATTAGATGTACATCTTTTGTCTCTCACTAACTTAGCTATGTAATTCTCACTATCATAATGTATGATTATTCATTGTTGATAATACCTGTTATATCTGCTACTTACTCCACAAATTTGATGACAAGGTCTGAGAAAAAAAATTCATTTACCCTACAAACTATCATTGGAAAATCAATCAGGGAGCTTTTGCACCAAAAATTCTTGTTGAAAATACAATAAGTACTATTAGGCAGAGATTTTTTTGTCTCCCACTAACCTAATCATATAGTTGCCACTATTGCAATATGAAATTCCTCCTTGTTAGGTAATACTGTGATATAGCATCCCCAAAATTTCTTGTTTAAAAAGCCAAAGCCAAATGAAATATTTGAAAAAATGCTAAATTTGTATGTGTTGTAGGATATGTTTGCTGCTGGAACTGATACTACATACTCGGCTTTAGAGTGGGTGTTGGCAGAGCTCTTGAAACACCCCAAAGTCTTGAAAGAACTCCAGAACGAAGTGCGACGAATAGGCAACGGCAAGCAATACATAACTGAAAATGACTTGGAGAAAATTCACTACCTAAAAGCCGTGATCAAAGAGGCTATGCGCCTACATCCTCCTATTCCATTGCTAGTTCCTCGAAGATCAACCCAAGATGTCAAGTTAATGGGGTATGACATTGCTGCTGGCACACAAGTAATTACAAATGCTTGGGCGATTGGGAGAGACCCATTGTCATGGGATGAGCCAGAGGAATTCAGGCCCGAGAGGTTCTTGAGTACTTCAATAGATTTCAAAGGGCATGACTTCGAGCTAATCCCATTTGGTGCTGGGAGAAGGGGTTGTCCTGGAATTCAATTTGCCATGGCAGTGGATGAGCTTGCATTGGCAAATCTTGTGTACGAGTTTGATTTTGCTGTCCCTAATGGAGCAAGAGGAGAGGATTTGGACATGAGTGAAGCTATTGGTTTGACAGTCCACAAGAGGTCTCCTATATTGGCTGTTGTGACTCCTTGTTCCTTCTAGTCTCCACCTCATCCTTTCAAAAAAGAAAAAATTATTATTATTATGATATGTTGGTGTAGCATGCACTATTCACACACTATCAGAGTTTGTAAGAAAAATAAGTTTTGATTGGCTTAAAGTAATGTGCTAATTTGATAGCTAAAAATAAATAAATAATTAAGCAAAAAATAAATATTGGACAAGAAGTTACCAAATTTTATGTGATTTGACGAATTCTGCCTACATTAATAAATCTTTCGTTTTGTCCATTGTACTTAATTATGTATTTAACAAATAGGCTTTTCTAATTCTATTGGCATATTTCAATATTGAATATGAGAGTGTGTTGTGGGTCATATGCTTATTTTTGTTAACTTATGGGTCTCTAAATGGTCTGCAGACAAAATATTCAACATTATTCAACTTAACAAACTCATTCCATGACTCATCTCAGTCCACTTGAGTGTCCAACTCGTCCCAACTCATGAAAGATGACTTAGGGTTTTAAACAAAAGTTTTAAATGGAGTCTGCCCATAAATCCAACCCGCATGAGTTAGTCTAATTTTTAGTTTTATTTTTTTTTTTGGTACTCTTATTTAAAGTTTTTATTATTTTTATTCTTCTTCTTATTTAAACTTGTAGTATTTATGTTACTTGATTGTTTTTTGATTCTATGAGATGTAAAAAAGGTAAAAATAACAAAAACAAAATACTTGAATTATGTTAGAAAGTAAACAAAAAAAATAATTAATGAAAATATTAAAAATGTGAATGAAAAATAGGTAGAACTTAATAATATAAGTGTAATGAAAAATATGTAGCCTGGTTCGGTTTGATTTTAACCCATAAAATTTAGGTTTATGGGTGAAACGTGGTTTTAGTTTTTTAAATAGATCTGACCCTTAGTCTACCTCATATAAAATTTTATTTTTTCTGATGAAATTACATTTTGCATTTCAATTTAATCGTTAAAATTCATTTTTAAGTAAGTAGAGTTTTCCATTTTACACTCATTTTTGAGAACCAGCAAAGCATGAAACATATGGTCTATATAAGTTTTGGGAAGTGATTGAGACCCCCTCCAATCACCACCCCCACCACCCCTATACACATGTGGCAGGTGGTGATTGGAGGAGAAGGAAAAAAAGAAAAAGAAAAAAGAAAAAAGAAAAACTGACCAATCAGAGAGAGGGGGTCAAAGAGGGTGCCTCCTTGAGGGGGTCCAACTCATTTTCCATAAGTTTTTATGCCTTTCATCTTTTTATTTGTTGATGTGGTTGTCATTATAAAATTTTCCCTTTTGGGGCTAATTGGATGCGAATCCAAAAACATCATCTATTGCGTTTATATTGGGAACAAATATTAGGTGTACAAGTACGAGGATTAGAGTTTTCCATTTTACACTCATTTTTGGATCTATCATTTTCACACTTAAATTTGAGAACCAGCAAAACATGAAATATGTGGTCTATATAAGATTTTATGGCTTTGATCTTTTTATTTTATTTATTTTATTTATTTGTTGATGTGATTGTCATTATAAAATTTTCCACTTGTGGGGCAACAAAAAGGAAATGAGCTTTTTACTATTTTTATTATAATGGAGTTATGGAGTATGGAATTATGATGGAGAAGTTAGAGAAGTTGGAAGCACGAAGATGGAGAATTTACATTGCTTTATTCATTGGCTTGAATGCCAATTTATAGAATACATATTGTATATATGTAATAACCCTCACCACTGCTTACCGATAAACACTGATTACTGTTAAACTAAACTGATTATGACTGATAACTGAACTGATAATAATCTGCTTAAAGTACTGAACTGACTGACTGAAAATCGGAACTGAATTGACTGAGTATGTATGTTAATTTGCATTCTATCTTTGGATTGATTATTTGATCTGTTTGTGTTTTATGTTTAAACCGTTAATGGAAGGCCTTATCGGCGGCCGAATCCGGAAGTGATTGGGGTTTTATGATCATCAATAATTTATGTGATTTTACAATATATTTATCTGAAAACTGCTTAGGTATGATTAAATTAGATTAAATATTGACTTAATGCAAGGTTGCACTTATTTACCATTTTGCCATGGTGAGTGGCCACTACCTATACATCTTTGAGCTCATTACACATAACCAAAACATTTGCTCAGCCTTTTCTCTTGAGTGTGTAGCCAACCATGAGCGGGAGAGAGTGAGAGAATTTGGATTTCATCTTGAATTGCTTGGTAATTGAAGTGTAGATTGCTACTTTGAGCTCCCAAACCTTGAATACAAGACTAATGTAGGACATTCATCTTCTTGCTGTTGTCATAGAATTGATTCTTGCATGATTCATGCTTCAATTGTAGAGTTAAGTCTTGGTTTAGTTCATACATGTTGATATAGAGCTCATTTCATGCTTGCATGTTTAAATTGTTGAGTTTTGAGTTGAATTCATGGTAAAATGGTACATGCATGTCCATAATTTTGTAATGGTCCATGTTTTCAACTTGTTTTTGGATCAATTGGCTCCTTAGAGCATCAAATTGGAACTTCAAAATGATTTAAATTCATGCATGTTTGCATGTTCATATTATTCTTGAAAAATGGTTTGAAATTGAGTTTGAATTAAACACCCTTGGGCTTTGATTTCTTAAAATTGAGCTTTGAACCATGTCCTTCTGTATGCTTACAAGTGTTTTCTGGAAATTCAACCCAAGAGGATCGGTTTTGATGCTTTTAAACTTGGTTTTTGGCTTGGAGGTGCAATCTGGAATTCCCAGATTTTGCACTTCCGCTCGAGCGGGGAAAGTGGCGCTCGAGCGTAGAATCCGAGCATCCAGTATCTCTGCACTGTTTTACAGTCCGCTCAAGCGGAGGATTGGGCGCTCAAGCAGAGGATTGTGTCTCAAGCTCGAGCGGGCGTCGAGCGGAGATTTCACCCATCCAGTACTTTTACAGTACGCTCGAACGGGAAAGTTGACGCTCGAGCGTGTACCTTTGTTGCATGACTGCTCGAGCGGGGAACCTGCGCTCGAGCGGAACTCTGTTTTTCTGAAAATTCTGAAACTGCTTTTTGAGTACATCTTGACATCCTCATCCCATCCGAGGCATTCTTAGGCCTAGTTTAAGGCATCTCATTGAGGGCATAGATGTAAGACACACCGAGACATTAGGGGTTAAGTTACTATCTTTCCCAACTGTGTAGCTTAATGTGTTCAATCTGTTAACTATGTAGGGTTGGCGACTGGAGAGGCACGCTCTAGCATACTGTAGCCCGAACTCTGTGAGTAACGATTGTGTAAAGATATGTTCACAAATGATTATCTTCTGAACAGCTGAACTGTACTGTTTTCTGAACTGATTACTGTTAACTGAATGAATGTATGTCTTATATTCTGAACTTGTGCATCCTTGGCACCTACTGTTTACTGTTACTGAGACAGAATTCTCTGTCGGTTCCTTGTTGGAACCACTACTGTTTACTGACTGATGGCCATCACTACTGTTCGGTCTTTTAAGACCTACTGCTTACTGTACTGTTATGCTAATGGGTGTACCACATACGACTGTACTGACTGAACTATTGAAATACTGTTTAAATGAACTGTTTTCATACTGTAAGGACATTCATTCTTAACCTCTTTACGCATTATGTTATTCACTGGGCTTTAGCTCACCGCTCATATATATATGTAGGTGTACAAGCACCAGACCGCGGCTAGAGGCGTCAGGGTTACTCCAGTTTTGTCAAGCCAGCCTTCGTGCCTCACTGCGAGGTTCCGAGCTACTGCGATGGCTTTGGGGTGTTTTGTTTTCCCCCGTCTGTCTTACTGTTTGGTTTACTGTATAAACTGTCAGCTGCTACTGTACTGTTATCAAGGGATTAGGTCCCTGTACTATGTGACTGTAAATTTTGTATAGACTGTACGGGACTGTACGGTTGTATGTATGAATGCATGAAAGATCTTTTTGGCATGCAGACTGTCACAGCTCAATGGACATTATTTAATTTACTGTATTGGCTTCCGCCAGGCCCTGTACTCTGTTTTACTGTATTACTGTTCTGCAGGCCTTCGGTAATCTCGGATTACTGGCCGGTTACGGTGCTAAACCCATAGGGCTGGGTTTGAGTCGTGACAATATACAGACAAAAACCAAAAGTTATTGCATATCTACCTCACGTCCAACTTCTACAACTTTTGACAAAACTTTATAACTTTTTGACAAAGTCTACAAGCCTAGGCATATGCTTATACAACATTTTCACAAAATTAAATACAAAGACAAAAAAAAGTCATAAATGAGAGACTACAATTATTTGTCAAATTATTTGTCATCTTTATACTACAATTATATACATACATTGTCTATCCTCCCCGATTTTCAAAGAGGTAGACTGTTATAGATAAGTTTTGGCTGAGCTGATTTGTTGTGTAGCGTCGGCTGAAAGGATGTGGCTGATCACTTTTCGCCTAATAATGCAGCTTGCTTCACGTGTCTTGGATAAGGTTGGAGTCGATCAGGAGACAGCTGCATTTGATAGTGGGGTCCACTATGCTTCCATCCTGTTGATGAGATTGTGATATTCTTCATCAGTCTTTGATGGAGGGGAATCCGAATCCTGGCTGTATTGCTCATTCCGGAAATGTTCTACATCATCCGCTGTCATGGCTAGTTCCAACGAAAGCTCTAAATTATTTCTCTTTTTGAGATTTATTAACATGTCAAGAGCCTCATTAATTTGTGTAGGAGACCTTTGATATGTTATGGGAAAATGGGTTACAAATAATATTCTACCATCTGTAACCATAAATGGCAATTTTGCTGAGCCATAGATGTTGGACACTGCTTGTGAAACATATATTAGACTGTCTATCCAATATTCTGTCAAAGAAAGTTTTTGAATATTTTCCAATCGTTCTCTCCGGTGATCTTCATCTAAATAATCATCTTCAAATTCAAAATCTTCAGTTTCTTTAATATACCAAATCTGGTATGATTGGAAAAAATGTTTTCGTTCTCGCCAACCAACAGTGCTAGAGATCAAGAAAGTAAAATATTTGCTCCATCGGAAGCCTTTTACTATCCATGAGAGCATTGCTTTGATGATCATTGGATAATCTATCCATTGAATTGGATCTAAAATTTGGAAAATAACTTGATTAGTTGTTCCTCAATCTATATCCTCAAAAAATCACATGTCATGGTTTGCCATGATGGTTATTTTGGGAATTCTATCTTTCAAATTTAATTTATCATAAGATCGTTCTAAGA